GAAGATAGCGTACAAGATGTGTAAGAAAGAGAACTCTCTTGTAAAGGAATAGACAATGTAGCCAGCAGTAATGCATAGTCTTATCTATTGTAGCGTAAAAGAGTATACTGGAATTACTCTCGAAGCTATCCTCCTCCTCCTCCTCTAAGAAGACGAACTCTGCCTCTCGATTTCTAGTCTTGAGGAACTGGTTAAGAAGGACAAGAGACTAGCTACCCTTGTTAAAGTTTAAGACTAAGAAGCGGAAGCGATAGGTAAATAGCAAGCGACGCCTGAACTAGGGTTTCGATAGGTTGGCTCGGATATAGTAGTGTTTCGGTATATCCTATTGGCTATACCCTTGTTCTAGCGTAACACTATGATTGAGTATAGGAAATTCTCTTTCTTTTTCCCCTTTCTACTCCTACTTCTTCAAGATACCTCTGGACTTTTACGCTATTGTCGTCTATCTACTATGTTTTCGTCCTCCTTCTCGTCCTCCCTAGGAGTAGGAAGCTCCCGGCTCGAATCCTCCTCCTAGCCCGATACCTCTTCCGGGACCCCTACGCGATCGAGCGTACGGCTACGCCAGCGCTATAGGACGACACTCAACGCGCTATCGAGTCCAACACTAGGTCGACGCCGACGACAACCTGACGTTAGGCGGCGTAGAACGAGACGGCCGAGTCCAGTAGAAGAGGAACTAGATAGTTCCCTTATTCTCCCTATCGAGCCTAATTATATAGGAGAGTAGGATATCAAGTCAAATTGCTGGCTATAGAGGCTTAGGTATAAGGACAACTTTGAGCGTTGGTACGAGGTACGGTAGTGGAATTATACCGGAAAGCGCCTTAAAAAGCGGAACGGTCGTGCTATGTTCGATCGGTCCCTAATTACCTAGGGAAGTAAGTCTCGGACATCTTGGGTATAGGATTTTCTAGAGGAGGGAATGCTTCAAGAAGATGCGACGCCTAAAGTCGTATACAGATGCTGTAACGCTGTACTAAAACATCCAGCACTAAATACTAGTACAACATCTGTCGAGAAGCATCTCGACTCCTCGAACTGCTAGGAGAAACAAGATAAGCGAGGGTTTACAAAGGAGATGTTTACGGCCGCGAAGCATCGACAAGTAAGTACTAACTTACGCCGACTATACCTGCCGACCACGTCTGCCGACCACGCTTAGCTACTTTTACTAAGACGATATTTCTAGACTGTTAGCAATCCACGGTGGACAAGGGACCTAGGCTACACACTAGACGATTTCCCGCGCCTATGCTTTGAGATGATTGTCGACAACGGTCTACTATTCCAGTTCTTTGAACGACCCTCGGTAAAACAGACTTATATAGCACTTCTCCCGGGACAGGTCGAGACAATTCCGTTCAAATGCGCGTCGACATACCGAAGGATGCTCGATACTAAGGTTATAGACTCCGCCGACTCCCTTAAAGCCCGTCTCGCTAGAAGATTCAAGATGGCTATCGCGTATAATGGTTGGCAATCCAGGACTATGAAAACCTTATTCCTAACTATACGGGTCTACTGGATTGACGACCAATAGACTTAGCACGAAGGGATGCTTGGTTTCCCTTATATTACTAGCCGTCATACTGGTGATTATCTTGCGGAGATACTATTCGAGATCTTACAAGAGTTCGAGATTGAGCGCCGATTGACTGCTATTACGTACGACAACGCCTCCAACAATAAGACGCTATACAATGCGATGTAAGGACACTTGCTCTACTGTTATTACTCTCCTCTAATATTCTATAGTGTTTCAGCGATTGATACTTGTTAAGAGAGGTACGGTATAACGGTTACTAAGCTACCAACGAGCTTGGAGCAGCTACCTCTCTATCTAGGTACGGAGACTAGTCCCGAATCAGAGATAGGAGAGGAAGAGGAGGAGGCAATTGCGGAGTGTAATCGAGGTAGCCGTCCGGAGCGATTTCCCTGCTTTGCCTATACTGCTCAACTTCCCCTGAAGGCCTTTTTCGACCGCCTAGGGCTTTGTCCTACGAACGACCTTTCCGAATTCTGGGATTACGATAAGGATAGAAAGATATTACAGAGAAGAAGAGTCCAGAGCAAGCAAATTAGCCGTCCTCAAGCTGATAGTATGCCCTATCTTCTTTTGAAGGTAAGATTAGTGTCTGCGCCTAATAAACTATAAACCCTTCTACCTCGAAAGTATAGTCGACTCGCGTGGTCGGCAATTATGGTCGGCAGTTCGTTAC